TGAGTTTTAACTTCTGTTTCCCCTCTATATGTGTTGAGATTATCATGCATTTTTTGTCTTTTGTTCTATTGAAATCATGTGTGACATTGAAATATTAAATGGTTGGGGAAAAAATTAAAAATTTGGTAAAATTCACCAGTGGAGCCATCTGGCCTAGGGCTTTTCTTTCTTTTTTTTTAAAGTTTTTAATTTAAGTTTAATTTAACATAACTGTATTATTAGTTTCAGAGGTAGAGTTCAGTGATTCATCGGTTGCATACAACACCCAGTGCTCATTACTGCAAGTGCTTTTCCCATCACCCAATTACCCCATCCCCCCCCACCCCCCACCCCCACCCCCGCCAACCTCCCCTCCAGCATCCCTGTTTGTTTCCCATAGTTAAGAGTCTCTTATGGTTTTTTTCTCTCTCTGTTTTTGTCTTTTTTTTTTCTCCTTCCTTTCCCCTATATTCATCTGTTTTGTTTCTTAAATTCCATGTATGAGTGAAATCATTCATAGGACTTTTCTTTGTGGGAAGTTTTTAAAATTGCTAATGCAGTCATTTTTATTTGTCATGGGCCTAATTAGATTTTTTATTTCTGGGGTGCCTGGCTGGCTCAGTCAGTAGAGCATGTAACTCTTGATCTTGGGGTCATGAGTTCAAGCCCCACATTGGGTGTAAAGCATACTTCAAAAAAAAAAAAAGTTTAAATTTCTTCTTAAGCAATTTTGGTAGCTTGTATTTTTTTTTTTTTTTTTTTAAGATTTTGCTTATTTAACAGAGAGAGATCACAAGTAGGCAGAGAGGCAGGCAGAGAGAGGAGGAAGCAGGCTCCCCGCGGAGCAGAGAGCCCAGTGAGGGGCTCGATCCCAGGACCCCAGGACCATGACCTGAGCCAAAGGCAGAGGCCTTAACCCACTGAGCCCAGGTGCCCCGGTAGCTTGTATCTTTTTAGGAACTTGTTCTTTCATCTAAGTTACCCAATTTTTCGGTATACGGTTCTTTAGAATATTTCCTTATAATCTTATAAAAATGTTACTGTAAGGTCAATAGTGATGTTTTTGCTTTCATTTCTGAGTTTAGTAATTTGAATTTTTCTTTATTCTTGGTCAGTCTACGTAAGGTTCATTAGTTTTATTGATCTCTTCAAGGGACCAGCTTTGGGGTTTGTTCTTTTTCGTTATAGTTTCTCCATTCTCTATGTCATTTATTTCTATTTTAATCCTTACTTTTTTCTGCTTGCTTTAGGTTTCATTTGCTCTTTTTTTAGTGTGTTAAGGTGAACTGTTACCTTGCTGATAGAGATCTGTCTTTGTCTTCTTTTGATACAGATGTTTAGAGTTACAAATTTCCTTCTAAGCATTATTTAGCTACATCCCATAAGCTTTCATAGTCATCTTAAGGTATTTTCTTTTAAGATTGTATTTATTTATTTATTTATTTATTTGCTTATTTGACAGAGAGAGAGAGTGAGAGAGGGAACACAAGCGGGGTTGGGGGGCGGGGACGGGTGTGGAGAGTGGAAGAGGGAGAAGCAGGCTTCCTGCCCAGCAGGGATCCCAGGACCTTGGGGTCATGACCTGAGCTGAAGGCAGACACCCAATGACTGAGCCACCCAGGAGCCCCCATCTCAGAGTATTTGCTTACTTCCTTTATGATTTCTGATTTGATCCATTGGTTGTTCAGCAGCGTGTGGTCTATTCCCACGTATTTGTGAATTTTTCAAATTTATTTGTTCTTGATTTCTAACTTCATCCTGTTGTTGAATCATCTATTTGTCCTTTTAATTTGGTCAGTTTCTGCTTCCATGTATTTTGGGGGCTCTGTTTTAGGTGCATGTATCTTCATAATTTTTGTATCTTCCTCAGTTGACTCCTTTTATCATTATAAAATGTCTTTGTCTCTAATAACTTTTGGTCTTAGAGTTTATCTGACATTAGTATATCTGCTTCAGCTGTCTTATGGTTGCTGTTTGCCTATCTTTTTCTATCCTTTTAACCGATTTGTGACCTTTGAATATATGTGTGTTTTTTATACAGTTAGATTAAAAGTTTGTTTTGTTTCGTTTTACCCAGTCTGACAAGATCACCCAGTCTGACAAGATGGGCCTTTTGAATGGATTGTTCGGTGATTGCACCTTTTTTTTTTTTTTTTAAGTAGGCTCCACACCCAGCATGGGGCTTGAACTCATGACCCTGAGATCAAAAAATCGCATGCTCTCCTGCCTGAGCCAGCAAAGCTACCCAAATTCACATTTAATGTTATTATTGATATAGTTGGATACACAGTTGACACTTGAACAACCTGGAATTTCATATTGCATCCTTACAGTAAAGTAAGCTAGATAAAAACAAATGTTATTAAGAAAATCATAAGGGGCACCTGGGTGGCTCAGTTGGTTGAGCATCTGGCTCTTGATGTTTGTTGGTTTAGGTGATGACCCTCGTGGATTGTGAGATTAAGACCCACTTCTGGATCCACACTCAGCTCGGAGTCTGCTTATCCCTCTGCCTCTGCTCTTCCCCCCCACTCCCTGCTCTCACTCTCAAAAAATAAATAAAAATCTTAAAAAAAATCATAAGGAATAGAAAATAGATTTATAGAATCATATCAAAAAAGAATCCATGTATAAGTGGACCTGTGTAGTTCAAACCCATGTTGTTCAAGGGTCAGCTGTATATCTGATACTTTACTTTCTTAGCAGTTGCTCTAGGACTTAAACAGTATACTAAGTTATCAGCATCTTCCTCAGATTATGCTATTTTTTATGTCCACGAGACACAGAAATACCTGTATAGCTGTATTCTCTTTCTTTTTAATTTCACTACAGTTACACACATCTGTATATGTTACACATACAAATTTGTTAAAATCATTACTTTCTACAATTTTAGGTCCTTTAAGGCTGAGAGAAGGAAGGAGAAGAAATACATGTTTATAATAGAGTTATTATATTAGCCTTCTTATTTACCATTTCCAGTTCTTGTCATTAGTGGATTTTTCTGATGTCTTAGTCTATTCAGGATGCTATAGCAAAGTACCATAGGCTAGGTGGTATTTCTCCCAGTTCTGGAGGCTGGTTCATAGATACCCATCTTCTCACATGGTGGAAGGCACTAAGGAGCTCTCTGGATTCTACTTGGTAAGGGCACTAATCCCAGCCATGAAGGTTCTACCTCATAGTTTACTCACTTCCCAAAGGCCCTACCTCCAAATACCATCACATTGCAAATTAGATTTAAATACCTGAATTTGGGGGACACACAAACATTTAATTTATACCACTTGAATCAATGTTTCCATTTGCTCTATTCCCTCAATTTCCAGAGACTTCAAAGAGCTTTTTTTAAAGCAGGCTCCATACTCAATGTGGAACCCAACATGGGGCTTGAACTCAAAACCCTAGATCAGGACCTGAGCTGTCAAGAGTCCAATGCTTAACCAACTGAGCCAACTAATTATTTAAAGGAGCGGCACTCCTTTAAATAATTTTTTTAAAGAAAATGGCTCAATCGGAAGAGTATATGACTCTTGATCTTGGGGTTGTGAGTTTGAGCCCTATATGGGGTGTAGAGATTAAAAACAAACTAACTTAAAAACATTTTTTTTCACCAGCTAAGATTGTTTCATCAGGAGGAAGGGTCACAGAGCTCCTTGTATCCTCATTTAAGAACCCTCTAGGGTTTGCACGTTTTTGTCTTTTAAGTAAGCTCTACACCTGCTGTGGGGTTTGAACTCATGATCCCCAAGAAATCAGGAGTTGTTCACTCTACCAACTAAGCCAGCCAGGTGCCTCTAGGCTGTGCGTGTTTTAAACATGGATACCTAGTAGTAAATTGCTCTGTAGAAAAGCTACCACCTTACATTTCCAATAGCAAGTTGTAAGAAGGCTTATACTACAAAGTTTTGCCAACACTGGGTGCTATCAATGTTTTTAATCTTTTCTAATCTGATAAGCAAAGAACCCATCTCATTTTATGTTCCAAATTTAGGCAGTCTGAGGTGATTTCTAGAAGAGGCATACCTACATTTTTTACTGCTATTCATTAAAGTTGACACCTCACTGTGACTGTCAGGAAAGTGAAATGTTAAGGATGTGGAAGCTTCCAAAAATGAACCAAGAGAGTGCCTCATGTCTTCATGAGGGGGCCAAAACGAATTGCCTAGGGAAACCTTGATACCAATGATTGTCTTCCTGTAAAAGATCCATTTTTCTTTTTAAAAAATTAGTTACATGTTGCCCTACCATATATTTAAAAGTTATTGCTAGTATTAATTTAAATAGTTTCATAACATTAAAAGATTTCTAGGGACCATTTTATCTATTAAAATACCCCAAATTAAGATACTGGTTCTGGGGGTGCCTGACTGGTTCAGTCAGTAGAGCATTTGACTTTTTTTTTTTTTTTTTTAAGATTTTATTTATTTATTTATTTGACAGTGAAAAAAAGACAGCAGGAGCAGAGGCAGAGGCAGGTGGAGGGAGAGGAAGCAGACTCCTCACTGAGAAAGGAGCCTGATCCTGGGCTCTATGAAAACCCTGTATTATGACCTGAGCTGAAGGCAGACACTTAACTTGCTGAGCCATCCAGGCACCCCAGACGTGTGACTCTTGACTTAGGGTTTGTGAGTTCAAGCTCCAGGTTGGGCATGGAGCCTACTTGAAAAAAGATACTGGTTCTGATATGTTTTTGTGGACCTGCTCCACATAAATTGTCTTAGCTAGTATAAATACCAAGAATCAAAATCCAAAATGCTGAGACAAATAGCTGGGACTGCTCATGTGGGTCACTGAGCAAATAGAGATTAGGTGAAAAATAATTCAATGAAAAAAATCTCTTTAATAACATAAATTCAGACTTGAAGAAATAGAGGTACTTTTTCTATATTAAAAGGTAAGAAAATACAAAGTATACTATTGATAGTATAACTCATTATCTGTTTAAAAAAATTAAGCATGGGTAATTGGTCTGCTGGATAGCATTTCTTATTATGTTTCTTTCTCCTTTGCCTTCCCAGTGTGGACCTTCTCTAGATAATCGTACCTGGTCTACCAGAAGAGGAATGAAGGAAAGATACCCACCCACACCATAGTGTGATTGCTTAGAAGTTCCTGTACAAAAAGGAATCATTTGAAAGGACCTGGGATGGTTTATTAGTCTTACAGGATTCTCTTCCTGGTTTCTCTTTAGAGGGGAAAATAACAAATTCAAAAGCAATTCCAGTCTGAAGCACAATTAATGTCTTAGTACAAGAATTAAAATTTTTCTTTCATAATTCTTTAATTCTCCACAAGTATTAAAATGTTTGTATACGTTTGTATATGTTTGAGTGATTTTTTTTTCCCGAAAATGCTAAATCTCTAATCAAATGCTTTGACCGTTTGGCTTTACAGAATAAGGATACATTAATTGGTTCATTGATTATTTATATAGTGAAACTAAGAAAGAAACTATTAATTGCTATCAATTTTATATTATAGGCTTTAATGTTTATGAAAGCATTTTTTTATTTTGAACAGTACCCATAAAGTCATAAAAGAAAGTTTGAAATACTAAGATGTTAATTTCTGAATCTGTCTCTCATCATGTAATTATAAGAAACCAGTGCTTTATTTCCTTCCCAGTGTGAGGTCTTCCCAAGTTGTTAAATACACTCTTAATTTGTATTTATTAAAAGAGTAAAGTTAGCACAATGCCATAAAGTTTTTATTTTACTGTAAGTTAATTCCAGGTATGAAATTTATGAAATCTTGATTAGAAATTTTGCTTGTAAACATTGTAGAGTGGAAGAAACAATAAACCATTAACCCTTACTTTGATAAAATAAAAGTTTGGGGGCACCTGGGTGGCTCAGTCAGTTAAGCCTCTGCCATCGGCTCAGGTCATGATCTCAGGGTCCTGGGATCGAGGTCCAGCCCCATCGTGTCCCCTCCCCCCTTCCCAGGCTCTCTGCACAGCGGGGAGCCAGCTTCCCTTCCTCTCTCTCTGCCTACTTGTGATCTCTGTCTGTCGAATAAATAAATAAAAATCTTTAATAAAAAAAATAAAAGTTTGGGATTGGTATACTATAAAGAATTTGAGATAGAAATTCTGAAATCACAGTTTGTCTCCCTTTCATAGTTAATTAATGGTATCTTTTGGAATGGAAAGTACTGTAAAACACTGTAATTAACTTTAAACACAGAAGATGTTTTATGAAATGTATTACCTCATTTAAATTGGGTACTTTTGGGGAAATTCTAAATAATTTTCTGGATAAATTGTAATTCCTTTACACAAGTGCATTTCAGTAGAAACAGAAGCTGTTATCAGTTATATTTATGTTTAAAACATATACTTGTTTTAAATAAATAAATAAAACATATACTTGTTTATATATTTTGTACCAAAAAAAGAAAAACAATACAGTTCAGGGGCGTCTGGGTGGCTCAGTGGGTTAAGGCCTCTGCCGTTGGCTCAGGTCATGATCCCAGGGTCCTCGGATCAAGCCCCACATAGGGCTCTCTGCTCAGCAGGGAGCCTGCTTCCTCCTCTCTCTCTCTGCCTGCTTCTCTGCCTACTTGTGCTCTCTGTCAAATAAATAAATAAAATTTAAAAAAAAACTACAGTTCAGATACTGTCTTACTGAATACAAACCAACACTTTTTCAAGTACAGACTCACATTCACAAAGCTAAAAACTAGCCATATCATTGTAATTAAATGGGTGCAGATTTCTGCCCAAACAACTATAAGTTTTCAATAAACATCCAAGTGTCTAGTTGTCTTCATTTTGTATAAGAAATGTTCAGAATGTTGGGCACAGCACGGCAAAAATGCTTCTGATATTTGTCTTTATTTTCATTTTTTATTGCTTTCAGTTGTGGCATTTAAGGTTATAAATCCTTGATACATACCCTGCCACTGCGAGCTTTTTTTATTACTTAATTCAGGATTACCAGGGTAAGGGCAAAAATTCTTTCAAAATCTATAAAAACTCAACAACCAGTCACATGTATGCTGGAAGTGGCATACCAGAACAAATCCATGATAATGGAGCCAAATTTAGTCACTGATGAGATGGAGGGGGAGACCAGAGGACATCAAATATGTATACTTAACTTCCCCTATGATTTGATGTTTGTTTTATTATTTTTTATAAAAGTTACAGTTAAAAGTTCTTTGTAATTGCTAACATTTTCAGAACCCAAAGGAAAATAGATGTTACATAGTTTAATCAAGATGCTTAAGGGAATCAGAAGTAATGGTGCCACCCCAATTTGGGGCCATGAGGTGAGTCAGGGAAGTGGAGCAGATGGCAACGCGTGGACCAAATAAGAGTTGATCCTTCCCTCTTGGCTTAGTTCCTTCCAAATTCTGAAGTCAGTGCAGTCTTTGGTTCTATTTTTGCACTAGTTTTATTCCTTCCCAGAGCCAGGACTAGAATATGTGGACACAAAATTTAAGGGCGTGCTCAAAACCTCAGTAAACAAGTAATGGCTTAACACCATTTTTGAGAAAAATAAAAACACCAAAAAAAATGCATGATGAACAAAATACCAATTTTTTAAATAAAGAGGATCAACCAAGCCATGTTAGAGCCTGAAGCAAAGGGAAAAAATGAGTAATTCTAATTCAGTAAGAAGAACCTTATTTTAGCATATTGAAGTCGCGTTCCAGGCTTTGTTTCTTCTCTTTGTTCTCACTTCCCAAAATGACCTCACTCTGTAAACCCTAGGTCTGTATCCCATTTTCCATTCTTGCCTTCTACCCGGCCAGAATGTTCATGGAAAGAACATTGGATACAAGCTGTGGCATCTTTTTACATTTAAGCTCTCATCCTACTATAAAATCATAATTGGATTCCAAGGAGTCTCGGTAAGTGATGGTGAGGTTGGCTTGAGGCTGGTCCCTGTCAACTGCTCTGCAGAAAAGCCCTCAGCCTTATCTGGAAGTTTGTTACTTGATTGTACACTGGGAATCCACAAGAACTACCTATGCCGCCATCTCACTACATATTTAGGAATATTACAAAACTCAGTTTTTACAAGTTCTCATAATACTGTATATCAACCGTTTTGTGTCACTTGCTATGTAGTAAGTGGCTATAGAATATTCTCAAAAGTTTTTACTTTGGTAATGGGTAAAAGTAAAGAATATTTTGGTATGTATCCATTTTTCTATTTTTAATGTAACATGTCCTGGGAGCATGTGTTACTATATTAGTTTCCATACTATTTTTTCTTCCATTGAGGTGTTAATAAAATTTTTGTGTTTCATAACTCAAATAGTTATGCTTAACTAAGTACAACTTGTTTTTTTTGTTTTTTTTAAAGATTCTTATTTATTTATTTGACAGAGATCACAAGCAGGCAGAGAGGCAGGCAGAGAGAGAGGAAGGGAAGCAGGCTCCCCGCTGAGCAGAGAGCCCGATGCGGGGCTCGATCCCAGGACCCTGGGATCACGACCTGAGCCGAAGGCAGAGGCTTAACCCACTGAGCCACCCAGGTGCCCCACTAAGTACAACTTGTATAAACTAAGCCATAAGTATCATGGAAAGTTCAAATACAACAAGTAAACCAAAACAAAAATATTTCTAATTCTTTAGTATTTGGTAAGATATTTTAATAATATTAGCTTTGAAAAATAAAAAACCTCCAAATTTGTAATGTGATAAAAGCAAAAACAACAAGGGCACCGGGGTGGCTCAGGGGGTTAAAGCCTCTGCCTTCGGCTCAGGTCATGATCCCAGGGTCTTGGGATCGAGCCCCGCATCAGGCTCTCTGCTCAGCAGGGAACCTCTTCCCCCTCTCTGCCTGCCTCTCTACCTACTTGTGATCTCTCTTTCTGTCAAATAAATAAATAAAATCTTTAGAAAAAAACAACACCAAACAGGGTGCCTTCTGTTAAAATAGCCTTCCCTGTAATGAGATTGTAGATGATTGTTGTCCATATTTTCAGAATGTCTGAGCCTCTTTTTAAAAAGTATTATTTTAGGAGGGGCACTAGGGTGGCTCAGTCTTGATTTCAGCTCAGGTCATGATCTCAGGGTTGTGAGATCAAGCTCTGCACTGGGCCTGAAGCCTACTTAAGATTCCCTCTCCCCTAACTCCCTAGTTGCCTCCCTACTCTCTAAAGAAAAAAAATACATATTACTTAGGCTTACAATTTAATTTTAAAAGTGCACTTGAGAGGAACCTCAGTGGCTCAGTCAGTTAAGCATCCGACTCTTGATTTCAGCTCAGATCATGATCTCAGGATTATGAATTGACCCTGCATCAGGCTCCCCTCTTGGTGAAGAATCTGCTTGAGATTCTCTCTCCTTACCTCTTCCTCTGCCCCACCCCTCTGAAGCATGCTCTTTCTCTCTCTCTCTCTCTCTCTCAAAATAAATACGTCTTTAAAAACTTAAAAAGTGTGAGCCACAGGGTGGCTTAGTCGGTTAAGCATTTGCCTTCAGCTTAGGTCATGATCCCAGGGTCCTGGGATCGAGTCCCACATTGAGCTGATTTATCAGCAGCGAGCCTGCTTCTCCCTCTGCCTGCTCTGCCTGCCATTCCCCCTGCTTGTGCGCTTGCTCACTCTCTGACAGCAAATAAGTAAGTAAACTCTTTTGAAAATAAATAAATATGGGGAGCCTGGGTGGCTCAGTGGGTTAAGCTGCTGCCTTCGGCTTGGGTCGTGATCTTGGGGTCCTGGGATGGAATCCTGAGTCGAGCTCTCTGCTCAGCTGTGGGCCTGCTTCCTCCTCTCTCTCTGCCTGCCTCTCTGCCTACTTGTGATCTCTCTCTGTCAAATAAATAAATAAATAAATAATCTTTTTAAAAAATAAATAACAAGTGTACTTGCTAAAAAGGGAGAGGAGGAAGGGAGGAAAGAAGGGACTCAGCCTTTTGCAAAGTAGTCTCCCTATAACTCTATTGGATTAAGCATTATTTTGCCTGTTTTATTTATTTAAAAGATTTTATTTATTTGACAGAGAAAGAGTATCAGCAGGGGAAGACCTGAGCCAAAGACAGACACCTAACCAACTGAACCACCCAGGCACCCACCCATTTTTAGATGAAGAAACTGAAACTTCGAAAATGG